GCGAGCGAAGCAAACCATATAAGATTGCGTAGCAATTTTCGTGGGTTGGCGAGCGCTAGCGAGCAGGGGGTGCAGCCCATTAGTTATCAATATTAACTTATTAATACAATACATTCTAATAGATTGGTAACTTTAACTAGCTTATTAATAATAACCGCTGATTATTAATATCAACCGATTAATTTCGATGACTGTTATATAATATATATACTTTGAAAAAATTTGAAATTTTTCACTACTTTTGCAAAAGGGTTCTGTTAAAAAATTGTGAATAAACTTTCTCATATCTGCCAACTTTTAATCCTTTCGAGGATGATTTTCCCCAGTGGTAGTAAAATCGAATTCGAATTACAATTTTAGGCAGAAACATACACTATATTTTGAAAAAGCTGATGCAGATAACCATGGCACGACGACGATCTATATTTGACAAAGTACCTCTTTCCACGTTAGCGGGCACCAGACCTCTTAATCTCTGAATTGCCCTAGGGCGACTGATACTGTTGGCGTAGATAGAATGAAGGAAGTTAAGGCAGTTGGCATATGAATAGCTTGCTACAATAAGCAGTTTAACCCTTTAATGGGCCCTTTATTTTTAGTAAGGGTAAAGTAATGTATTTTTGGAATTGAAATTTTTTTAAGAACAGTAATTGATATAAAAAAAACTCATTTAGTTTATAAAAACGCCATTTTTTTGGTGGTAAATATATTTAACATGACCTATTAGGAACTTACTGACTTTTATTTTTCTTTATTTATAAAATAAATTCCTTAAATACTACAAACTTCAAAAGGAATTATGTATTTTATAACTTTTATACGTTTTTTAAAAGTGACAAATGGTTACCAATTTTATTCAAACTCACTTCAAGAAAGCTGAAGTTATTGAAAAATGGAAACCTAAATTAAAAGTGGTAAAACGTAGTGGTGGTAAGTATCCTTACCACGGCCTTCAAAAGGGTTAAATCATGGTTATAAAACCACGGCACGGCACACAATTTTAAAAGTGTGTACAATATTTTTTTGTATAAAATAATGAGACAAGTGATTATTTTAAAATAACAAATGCTTAGTAATTTTTTTTATAACATTTGTATGATATTTATTTGCTTTGTTCGTATTTTAACGCAATACATGAGGTAAATGTGAAATGAATAGTGTTTCAAAACTATTTATAGTAACTTTATTTATTTATAACATTTCAATGATATTGTTTTGTTGTGTGCGAATTAAGAATGATATGAATAGTACTTCAAAATAATAAAATTTATAGTAGCTTAATTTATTTATAACATTTGTAAATTATTTATTGTCTGTGAGGTAAATTTGATATACTAGTACTCCAATACAATATAATAGTACTTCATATAATAATATAAATAGATTTTTATAAATAGTACTTCAGAATAACTTTATAGTTGTTTTTTGTAACCTTTGTATAAGATTTTTATTTAATATGAGGTAAATGAATAGTACTTCAGAGCAAGATGTTTAGAAGCATTAGTTTTCAAAAGTCTGCAGGGTTCATGTTAAGAACTTCAAAGTATAAGCCAATAAATTAGCCAAGTATCAAAAGTATTAGCTAATTTTCAAAATTCTTGGCCAAAGGCGATACTTAAAAAAAAATTATGATTTATTTTTCTGTAAAAAATTTCAGATTAAAATACAAATTCAAAATAAATTTAATTTTTATTTTATGAAATGCAATCTCAAATCTATAGTCATTTTGAAGTTGGGGAGGAGTAAATGAGCAATGAATGGGAATGAAACAGGTTGAGGTTAAGTTTTAATAACTTCTTAGACTAGAGCAATAAAATAAGGACAAACCTGAAACAACATTATGTTATTGTCCCATTGTGCGAAAATAACTCGATAATAATATGCCTCTTTATTGACACAAGCAAAACATTAAAAACTAAACACAAACTTGAAAGTAAGTTGTCATGCGATATCGGGCGATCCGGCATCGAACGTATTACTCTATTTTATGATTGTTTGTCTCATGCTTACGTAGTCTCTCTTGTTGCTTATGATTACATTTTATCTGTACTTAATATAGTTCTGATTGATTATGCGGCGTATCTTACGGAAATTAGTGTAATCGAACAAAATATACAAGATTTGTTCAAAATAATTCCTTTCGAAATTTTTATTTTTTGTTTCTAGGATCGAGAGGAATATGCATTTTTCTTTCCGGTAGAAAAAATCATTCGCCAATACTTTCACCAAAACACATTTTTTTTATTGGACTGAACTTACTTACGATTTAACCGCATTTGGCGAGGTGGCTTAGCATGTACCCTGGTCTGCACCAAATTTTTTTTTGTATAAAATATTAGGTGATATTTGAAACAACGAATGTCTAATAATTTTTTATAACATTTGTATGATATTTATTTGTTTTGCTTGTATTTTTTTTAATACATGAAACAAATGTGATATGAATAATGTTTCAAAACAACAAAATTTATAGTAAATTTATATATTTATAACATTTCTATGATATTTGTTTTGGTGTGTGTGAATTAAAAATGATATAAATAGTACTTCGTAATAGTAACTTTATTGCAGTTTTCGTATAACGTTTGTATTCGTATAAAAATTTTTTATTAAATGAGAGGTAAATGTGATATGAATAAACTTAATAACAACAAAATTTATACTAGCCTTATGTTTTGTAACATTTGTTTGCAACAAATATTTGTTTGCAAAAAATATGAGGTAATTGTGATATTAATATTGAATAGCATTACCTTAGATCAACAAAAACATTTTTAATTATTTTATTCGCATATTTGTATTATATGTTTTATTTTGTATATATTAATTGCGATATGGATAGCACAAACGATATCATTCCCATGAACTGGTAACCATAGACTAGTAACTAAATAATTTCATTTTCGAATTTATTTTGGAAGAAAAATGCATCCATGTTTAACAAAGCATAATTAATAATAAAAATATCAGCATTTTAATCTAAAATTTTGCTACTGCAATGTATGCACTGACTAAGCAATCTGTAGAATACCGGATTCCATATATTGACTCTTATATGAATAAGAAATAAAACAAATGAATTAGAATGTCAGCGGCATATAATTTGTTTTGTCTTAGCAATAATGGATCATTTAGGTTATGCGTCATTAGTTTTTGCGATAATGTGTCAAAAAATTGTGGTTGTAGTCGGTTTATAAACTTTAATTATACGGCTATATTTATTGCATTTCATTACAAATTAGATTGCAAATTGATTCACTGGTGCGTCTATTTGTTAATGTTTCAAATATGTTGATTTTCATATTCACTTTCATGACGATTCACACATTTTTTATTTTTTATAAATTTTAAGAAATTCATCAACCTAGTGTACTTATAATTCAAGCTTATAAAGAAGATCTTAACAGCACAATTTTAAGAGTACAGTAATACCATTTAGAACAAAGATACTTATAAAAAATCTATTAACCAATAACCGCTTACTGGTTTTTAGACTTTAAGGAGGAAAATTTTAAGTAGTTAATCAAACTAGTGTACTTAAACTAGTTAAGTATATATAGCTTAGAGGAGGCAACAACATGGAACATTAAAAAATTTATCTGCAAAAAAAGTGTTAAAATATTTGTATTAAAAAAGTTATAATTTGTAGATTCGCAAGCTTAAAAAGGTAAAAAAGCTGAAGTACTTAAGATTAATTAATTGATAAGTAATTAGATTGACATTTATTAATTTGATTTTTAAACGAAAAATTACGTAACAGGAAAATTAAAATGAAAAAAGATTCTTGATTTTAATTTACTTTTAGGTTTAGGAAATAAATGATCCTCGAAGACTAAATCTTTTTTAAATGTGAAATTGGACAAAAAACTGGGGTTATTAAACAAAATTTAAACTATACTATGACTTAAAAAATTAAAATTTCTACCTAAAATAAAATAATTTTGATTTTCAAACAACGTTCTGAGAACTAAAGCAGAAGACAATTTTTCACTTTTAGCAACATTCCGTGCCACCAAATACATATTAAATGAGGCAGATCTAATGAACTACGTGGCCACGAGATAGGTTATATGTTTGAATCTTAATGCATGATAGGATTTGACCTATTGCTAAGGGGGAAAGTACATTTGAAACTAAAGAAGTTTTCTTTTAAAACATAAGTTTTAAGAAACTAATGGAGATTATAAAATAAATTTCTCTAACTACACCACTTCTTTTTCATGACCATGAAGTTATTTTCAAAAAATGCGACCGTAAACTGTTAAAACTATCGTTTAACAGTTTACGTTACGTTTATTGACCATCTAGAAAACTAAACTAGGAAAGTGCCATTTTGTTCTAAGTATAAAGTTTTGAGTTAATGTGTTTGTAGTGGAATATTTTTTTTCACTTTATAAATGCCACTACATTTTACAATAGAACTAAAACCGCTTAGTGCGGGGCACTTCCAAATGTTAAGCTATGATAGGTTGACCTGAGTCACAGAGTACTGCTAATTCTATAGAGATGAGACCAATTTAAAATCTGGTTTTATAGTTTATGCCTTATTCTAAATTCAGGGTATTATGTTTTATTTATGTCAGGGTTTATTTCATTAAACTTATTTCGGAGCCCTGTGATTTTGAGTTTGTAATGTCTTTTGGTTCGGCGCAGTCTGTGTGCCATTATATTTACCACAATAGCTATCAAAAAACATATCTTCCTGTGCCTTAATATCTACATTTTATCAATGATCTAATATCGTTTTCTGCCATCACCTGAACTTATTGTGATACAGTGTATTATAAAAAAACACTGATGCTAATTTTGAACACAAGATCTCCATAGGAAATAGTTTTTAGTTTCAATAACTTCTGTCAAGTATAGCAGTTGATTTCTAATTAAAAGATTTTTATAATCACATACAAACAACAAGAGATAACATAAAACATAGAGAATAAAAGTTTATTTTTTTTATTTACCAATTTATTTTATTTAAATTACCGGTCATAAAGATAATATAAATAAATATAAAACATTTGTTTATGATAAAACATCCAATCATACCTTAAAATAAATTATACACACTAAATTCAAATACAGCAAAATCAAAACACGAAAACACACTTCATAATTTACTTTGTATTAATATTAAATGTTCAATCAACAGAAAATCTTTTTGGTGAGAATGCTAGTAATGCACATAGTTCAGAAATAACTATCAATAACATATATATATATATATATATATTTGAATCAATGTAAAAAAAACTATAGATGTTAGGGTTCGCAAATTTATATTTAAGAAAGTATAAAAACAAAAACATTTCAAAAATTTAGCAAAACGCTATTAAATAACAAAAATACCAAAATCTGTTTGAATGCCAGAAGAAACAGAGATGAAACATTTCGAAGTACATTCAAAGCTCATCGGGCAATTAAACTGATTTTGATTCCTCACTAGTTATAGCACCTTTCTCCCTAGTGATTTAACAAATTTCGATAACTTTTTTTTATCTCTCTTTTAAATAAAATATTATTAGTTGTCCTATAAAAGGTGCCATTTTTATAAATATTCTAAAATTATATAATATTCTATATTATAGACATTATGAAAAATACTCTTTACAAAGTTTTCAGAGAAAGAGTTCAAGGCTTAAAATTAGATGATTCTGACACGATTTAGAAAATTGTATCTAAACAAACCGTAACATACAAAGATGACCTCAAAATTATATATTAACCTTTGCTTACGGCTGGTATAACATGTGGACCACATGTGGCCGTACAACATGGTATACCGTAAACAAAGGGTTAAGATTAGTTATTGTAGAACACACTGAATACAACTTTTTTCAACGAACGAATCCAAGGTATAAGGTCATGTTTTTGTTTTTATTTCTTTCGTTTCCTGTATAAAATTTAATTCAGACACAATTTAGAAAATTGTAAACAAAACATACAAAAATGATCTCAACATGTAAAGATGACCTAAAAATTATATATTAAGATAAGTTAATACAGAACATACCGTATAGAAAGTTTTCAGCGAAAGAAAACATTGTATTAAATTTGATAATTCTGACACAATTTAGAAAATTGTACCTATACAAAACATACAAAGATGACCTTAATATTATATATTAAAATAATTGCGATTAGTTATTACAGAACACACTGTGTACAAAGCTTTCAGCGAAAGAAAACAAGGTATAAAATTAGATAATTCTGGACACAATTTAAAAAATTGTACATATACAAAACATACAAAGATGACCTTAATATTATATATTAAAATAATTTCGATTAGTTATTACAGAACACACTGTGTACAAAGCTTTCAGCGAAAGAAAACAAGGTATAAAATTAGATAATTCTGACACAATTTAGAAAATTGTACATATACAAAACATACAAAGATGACCTTAATATTATATGTTAAAATAATTGCGATTAGTTATTACAAAAAACACTGTGTACAAAGCTTCAGCGAAAGAAAACAAGGTATAAAATTATATAATTCTGACACAATTTAGAAAATTGTACATATACGAAACATTCAAAGATGACCTCAATATTATATATTAAAATAATTGCGATTAGTAATTACAGAACACACAGTGTACAGAGCTTTCAGCGAAAGAAAACAAGGTATGAAATTAGATAATTCTGACATAATTTAGAAAATTGTACATACACAAAACATTAACGTAAAGCGAGTATGTATGTTCAGTATGTATTGTACAGTACTTGTTAGAAAACATTATTACAATAATTAAAAAATATTTTGGTTTTGATCCTGAAAGAGAGCTTGTACATTTTTATCAACCCAATCCACTATGATTACTTAGTCTATTTAGGTTATTCGATATTGAGAAAAGAAAGTTATTGTCCTTCCTTCCGTACACAATCCATTCGGTTAACTAAATTAACTCTATGCAAGCCTTATGCTAAAAAATTACTTTTCATGCATTCTAGTTAAACCAGCAGTCGTAGCAAATCACACAAATAAGAACCCTCTCTATTACAAAAGGTAAGTAATCTTTTAAGACCTTATTCTAATTTAAATAATAATTTTTTAAGCAATCATGAGATTCAATTGCTTTGTCCGAATAAGAGATATTTGTTGTTGTAATACATGAATCATTATATATAAATTGTAAAACACTTATAAACTGGTGAAATACAGTGTTTGCTGTAGTTCATTACTTACAAGGTAGTTCAGTTCAAAGGGCTTACTGTAGTTCAGTAAGCCCTTTGATGCAGATGGTACACCGGTATCCCTTATATTTATCTTTCTATGACGCTTTAATTTCCAACCTAAATATATTTTTGTATTTTTTACCTATAAAAAAAAGTGAGCCATGTTAGGAAAAAAATTAGAAGTGAGCCATGTTGTTCGGCCTAAATTAATACAAAATAATTAAAAAATTGTGAAAAATATGGTTAATAAAAGTTCTGTGTCAAAGGTTTAAGGGAGTTTTTCAAACTCTTTTTATTCAAATGAAAAAAATCATCAGTTTGATTTTCTAGCACAATGCTTCAATTTTAAACTTTATGTACTACCCTGATGAAAAAAATTGACTAGGTGAATATATAAAAGTTAACAAAGTTATAAATAACTGTTACGAAATAACAAGAGGTATAAAAATAGCATGCTTTCTGCTAAAAAGCTTTATGGCGAAAGAGATTTCGCAGAACAGCCCTACTTTAAAACTTTTTACACACACAAGCTAAAAACCTATAATGTAATAAACAAAATAAAATGTTAGAGTACTGTAAAATCACTCGTTCGGCTATTTTTTCCTTAAAAAATTGATTTTTACAGCAAATTCAAAATACAATTTAAAAATATCACTCTTAGAAGAAAAAGTAATTTTTGCATTAAATTTAGAATTTACAAGGGTAGTTCAGTTCAAAAATAGAAATAAATAACGCTCCCATGTTTCACTTTGTACTAATGTTTTCTTAAGATCTGAATTGTCATCTAAATTGTTCTCTACAAACAACCGCAGTTCTTTTCCTTGTGATCCTGATTTTCGCGAGATCTCATATAATGCTCTTAAAGCTTTTTGATCTTCGATAAGTTCTAAAGCAATGTTTATAAATTCCATTGGTAAATTGTTAGCATCAAGCAGATCGTTTGACACTTCCAAAATAGGACAACCATGGGACAAAGTATTTCGAATATTTATACCAAAGAATAGATCTGTAGATTTAAGCCATAGATTCTTAAACGCATCTCTTTTCTTCAAGATCTCAAGACAGTCCAAGAGAAGCATTTCTAAAGCAGTTTTAGTGTCCATTTCCTCAGTGTAGCGGAGCATTAGGAGTCGCTTCGTATGATCTCTGTACTCTAAACTCGTTCCATAAATTCGTGATTTCTTTAAATAATCATCATCGTTCATTAATATTTCTTCCAAATATTTCATCCTCCCCAATAGAAAATCTAGTTTCTGGGTTTTTAAGTCATTCAATTTATCATGAATGCTTTTAGTAAGGCATAGATTTGGAATTACATTTCTATATATATCATCACTTAGAGCAGTCATAAGTTTGAAGCAAGTTTCTTCTTTCTTACCTAATATGTCCTCAACTGAACGCGAATTATTGTTTAAGATGTTTAAGGCTTCGTCTGTATTTTGCCTACTTTGTTTTATCTGTATTCTTACCTTTTTTTCTTTAATTAGGTATTTTAAATATTCATCAAATTCAGTGCTTGATTGTGTGCCGTTTACATGATCAATAATTTGTTGCTTAGCCTTGTCTAAAAACTCTGAAAAACTTTTTCTTATTATCGTTTGATCTGTTGGAGAAAATATTTCGCATTCCATTACGGTTTTGAAAATAACATTCAAGTTTGGAAAAGATTTTACTGTCGAATTTCTCTGTGTTCCCCCAAATTTTGAAATAAATATCTGTTTCAGTTCAGAAAAAACATCAATGATTTCCTTTATCGAGTCTTTAGATAAATCTTCATGTTTACCGTCTAAATATATATTGTCTATTTTATCTACTTCTTGGATAAAATCATCAATATCACAATGATTCGAGTGTTTAGACATAAATGACAATAAATATTTCAGACCCTCACAATGAACTTGTAATCGATCATATTTAATTTCATTATTTTCTGGTATCAAGTCTAGCATTGTACTTGATATTGAAATGTATTTGTCTTCTTGGTTCCCATAATGCTCTTGTTTCAAATCATATATTTCGGTTTTCATATCGTTAAGCTTTTTAAACAAATCATTGTCGTACTTTTTTGATTCTTCGATTCCATAAGTAATCATGAAATCCCTGACACGAAATATTTGCATCACAAATATGGGCTCAAATGCTTCTGCAACGTCTTTTAATTCTTTTTGGATTTCTAACAGAAACGAACTTTGTTGTTCAAGTGCTTTTCTGCCTTGAGTAAAGCTTGCATGCAAATGGGACAAACAGTTATCTCGAATATTACGTAGTACTTTCACAACATTGATGGGTATGCAGTATTCTAATAATGGAGTTATTATGTTACCTTTCTTTGAGCTTCGAAATGTTTCTCCAATGACTTGCAGCGTGCGTAAAACAGCTAATGCAGATTTTATTTCGTTGCCTGAAAACTCAACTTCTTCAGATATTTTTAAATACATCTGGAGGCGTGCTAGCGAAAATTCTTCTTTAATCAAAGGGTAATCAGACAAGCAGTTTTCGACAATTTTAATTATGTTTGAATCTTTTAATTCAGGTAGACCTCTGCTCAGTTCCTTAGACAGTGATGATAATGCTTTATACCACCTCATACGATAGCAAAAAATAATGAAATATTTAGCTTTCGTCTCAGTCTTGTAATTTACCAAATCTGAAAAGAAAATGTCTTTGTCGAATTTCAACTTGCTCAAAAAATACAAAAACAGAGAAGCTAGTACTTCAATGAAGGTTTTTTTATTTTGTTCATTTATTTCAACCTTTAATGATAAGAAATGATCAAAGAAACACAAGCAAGTTAAATCATCTACCATTCTATGATATTCATAATTTTGGAGGAAATCTTCATACTTATCAAGTTCTGTTTTTGCATTCATGTAGTGGAAATATTCTGAGTATTTATCTATGATAAACAACATGGTTTTGGTGAGTTTCTCACTTACTTGTGCTTTTGAATCATGCCCTATAGAAGTGACACCTCTTTCAATCTCAATATGATACTCATTAAAACGCATTATAAGATCATACATTCTTTGAGAGGTATTGGAAAAACCTTTAGATCGGAAATCGTCATGAATTCTTTCATGTATGGCTGTCAATTTTTTTAAAATATCGTCTTCGTGAGCATTTTCTTGATGAAAATAATCCTTTCTGGAAGCCTGATTATAAAGTACGCGAAAGAGATTCCAATCATTTAAAAGTATACAGCAATAAAATGCTGAAACACCATTTACATCTGTTGTCAAAGGATTTAGCTCATAATCAGCATCACTAAGCTTCTTTAATATGTATGGCGACTTAAAGAGTGTAGGAATAACATGTCCAAATGAGTTTTCAAGAAGCGTAATCAATAAGTGTTCACAAGGAAGTAGCTTAATAATATCCGATATTACAGTCTGCTGTAGACCAGCTGTTTTAAAAATGTGTTTTAAAGCATTTGTTTGTAAATTCGAAGAATAGTTTCTACTTAATCCAAATCCATAAATTATACTTGATGGCTCAACTTGACTGAAAATGATTATTTTCCAACGTGTACTCTTTTGACTTGAAGAAGGGGAAATAAACGATTTTAAACTTTTCCTGTTTGAGTCTTCCTCATAAAGATCGATATTGCACATTAGCATATTAGCAGCAGCCTCGAGTTTTCGATAATTACCCTCACTGTTATTCAACAAATTACCTGCCTTTCGATTCAGTCTCTTTTTCAAGATTGTCAATAACGTAATGAGATTTTCATCAAAATAAAGAGTGTGAATGTTTTTAAATGGATTGATATTCTTCACTCTTTTTTCAATTACATCAAAATTCAACTCTTTACTCAGATTTTTTAATTTTTCGTCTGGATTTTCACCAATCAGTAATTTGATGTTTTGACGAAACGTTCCATTTTCAACAGATGTTATTAAGTAAGGAGTCAATATTGACCAAAACAAGCTTTTCTTTTTCGGTGCGCTAATATTCCACACTTCATCTGGTTCGTCATGGTTATCATTAGCAAAAAATGCTGTCAAATCCTTCTTCGTTGGTGGTTTAAGCGTCATATTATCTGCTCAATGTTGTTGAATTGAGTCCTCTAAGAATTAAAACACGAATAACTATCCAACTTTATTAACTTTTTTCAAATTCCAATCTAAAAACAGAAAATGCAATGTGTAATTAGTGAATTAATTAGCAATATAAAATAGTGAACTATATGTTTACCCTACAAGAAATTTAAGGAATATCATTGCATAAAATCAGAACATGGAATACACTATCTGGAATAAAACATAATATTTTTATAACTAATTCAAATTTAAAGCGTAACATAATTTTTCAGAGCTAGAATAGGAACTATCTTAGCTTAATTTTAAATGCGGTTTCAAGTGGCTCTAAATTCAATGTTAAAAGTATATGTGCTTCCATTTTGGAATTGCGAACTGTCGTTCTGGCTGAGTATGAATTTAAATATCAAAAAACTAATCGATGACAAAAAAATCTGAATAAAACGTTATTTATTATCATTTAACACAAATCATAATAAACGTAGATTAAACATGGTAAACTTTTTACTATATCTACTTATTAAATTACAGCAGATAAAAGGTGGTGTTTTTATTGGTAATAGGACTTTCAGTGGAATAAAAAAAATCCTGTAAAATTACCGTACTGTTTGGTAATGACACGTCAGGTAAAAAAAAACTTTTTTTCTTATGACCAAACATTTAGTAAAAATTACACGTCTGAAAAGTAAATTAAATGGTATTTATGATATGCTATGATAAAAGTACCAAATTGTACCCCACTTACAAAATTTTATCGCATACTATAACACTATATTATATATTTTTTTTTAATTTACCAAAATCATTACCAAAGCGCTGCGGTAAAAATTTACTAGCTTCTGTTGTTCCCACAGAGCCAGAAACAGGGTGAATTTTTCCATATTCTGGTTGTTTGACCACAATTTTTCTCTCAGTGTAAAATTGTAGTTTTGAATAATATTTAAATCAAGTTTTACATTTCCTAATTAATTTGCTTTTTACACTATTTTATTAGTTCACAACATATATAAAAATAACAGTTTGGTAGCCACTAGCATGCCAATGATATTTTAGTGTCTCGCAGAACTATCACACACAATTTAAAATTTTAGTTCATTACGAAAACGAAAAAGGCCATAACAGTGACTATTATATCAGATAATTCGTAGTACAAAATTCGTAGCTGATGCCTATAAGAGGAACGAGTTTCTCTAATTAATTTTTTTTAAACCGGAATAATTAAACATTAAAAAGACTAATTGGACGTAAAACACAAAATCGAAATTAAGAACACTTAGGAGGATATCTGGAAAATTGCCCTTATGACATGATTTTGAGTCTTTAACTCTTCTAATTTAACCAAAAATTCTATTCTTTGTAATAGATAATGTTTTTTTAAGCTCTATTACTCTTGATACATAACGTATCTCAATACATATAAATCATATGCAATTAGAGTAATATAACAGTAATAAATAATATAATTATTCCATTATAAATTTATTTTTAAATTTTTAATAAAATAACGGTATGTAGAAATCATAAGATTTAATAATTTACGTTGAAATCGACGATCATCTTCATTGTGCCGTGACATAGGATTTCTCCTATTATATTACTATATTACTGGCCCGTAGGATTTCTTCACTTTATTACATTAATTCACTCTGCCGCATGAGGCTGAAGATCCTAATCCAAAGCATTGGGTTAAGATTTCTGTGATAATAACGGGGTTAATCTTTAGCGCATCTCTTATCTGGGTTATTATTATCTTAGATAAATTTTATTAAATATTTATCTATTTTTATCGAATTTAAAATACCTTTATATTTAATTATAAAACAAATTTAGAAAGTGAACAAAAAATAAATTAAATATTCCGAGAAATATTAAGAGTATTAATATGTTTACATTTTGTTTTATACACAATGAATTATCTTTTGCTTCAAAAAAGAATAAAATAATTGCGTCATGCAACACCGTTAAAAATAGTTATTTTTTAACTTGCCACATGAAATGCATTATTAAAGTACTACTAATATTTTTTTTTAGAATTCCTTCTTATAAAATTGATTTTCNCTCTTGCTTCAAAAAAGAATAAAATAATTGCGTCATGCAACACCGTTAAAAATAGTTATTTTTTAACTTACCACATGAAATGCATTATTAAAGCACTACAGATATTTTTTTTTTGAATTCCTTCTTATAAAATTGATTTTCAGCCTGGGTACCCCCTTATACTTCTAATGATACCTTTCGACTCAATTTTGAGTTTAATGTTCAACTCCGTAGCCTTGTAATTTTGAACTCAATCCAGAAGACAACGGAACTCCTGAATCAAGTATTGGGAGAAATTTGCTTTTGAGGAGAACTTTTTGATGAAACTAGCCGGCATTTGAGTTACATGGAGAAGTAAACAACGAAAACTTCCCACGGTTAGCCTGATGGCATGAGGATTCTAACCCGTGATTCGTCTACCGCTGAGGATATTTTAAATCGCAGTGCGAGACTCGTGTGGATCACCAGTCATTACTTGGATTTGATCTCGCTTCACCTCATTGGTAGGTGAACGTTCAATGCAATTAGCCATCACAACTCTGCCTAGAAATAGGCGCTAACCTAAGAGATTTTTTTTTAAATTACAAATAGTGTCTGTATTCAGTCACTTTCAATTTCTGATTGCTGTATCCCTCCCGTTTGCAAATCCTAATTGATTTCCTACAATTTCGGTAATACTTATGAATTAATGGTCATAAAGCTTACTAGAAAGACTTTTAATGATTGAGTGTTTCAATGTTCTAAACGAAAATGTGACCTATTATTACTAAAAACAGAGTGGCACAATTTAATATAGTTGCACACGCGTATATATCCTTCGGGAAAATTCCTGCCAACCAACCAATTAGATCGGTTCGTAAATTCAGCATGAACACATCTTAAAACATTTCTACTACTCTTCGTTACGTTTAAATTTTATAGCCTATTATTATTATTTATATTACAGCACACGTAGATGTAAAAAAATGCATATTAAACAAAATGAGAAAAAGATATCATGCCACTCACGATTAATAATTTAAAAAGATATTTTCACGCGGAAAAAAAAATTAGTTTCAACTTAAAATATTAATGCTCTTACAGTATCCGAATGTAGGGAATAGGCAAAAATGAATGTCTTTCCTCCTATCAGTTTCTTCTTGTGATTTTATAATTATATAAAATTAGGGCAAGCTTTGAAAAGATTTAAGAGCACTTACTGGAGAAATCAGTTGGTATTTGCCATGAGTTAAGCTGAGCTGAGAAACAAAATTGAATTGTTTTGAAGAAATATATAGAACAAAAATCATTTTTTTCTCATTTAATATCAATGAATAATGATTGACTAATGAATAAAGAACAATGATTGAATATAATGAATGATTTATTCTTTATTCAAATTATTTCTAACTGATGAATAAATCTTTATTCATTATTCAAGAAGATTTTGAATAATTATTCATCATTCTTCAGAATCACAAATGCCCAACGCTGTTTCCAGGTTAAGATTTCTGTGTTAACAGGGTTAATCATTAGAGCATCTCTTATCAGGGTATTTATTAACTTAGATAAATTTTATTAAATATTTATCTATTTTTATCGAGTTTAATACCTATATATTTAATTATAAAATTAATTTAGAAAATAAACAAACAATAAATTAAATATTCCGAGAAATATTAAGAGTATTAATGTTTACATTTTGTTTTATACACAATGAATTATCTCTTGCTTCAAAAAAGAATAAAATAGTTGCGTCATGCAACACCGTTAAAAATAGTTATTTTTTAACTTACCACATGAAATGCATTATTAAAGCACTACTAATATTTTTTTTTTAGAATTCCTTCGTATAAAATATACATAAAAATACAAAAAAATATCAAAACAAAATTTACCAAGTTTTTTGAAAGATTACAGGCATTATGTTCGTCATCTAATTAACCCAATTGCAAAATTATTTAAATTTAATAAATTTATTTTTAAATGATTAATAACAAGCAAAATGTTTTTATTGAAACACATGTAGACAATCGGACATTCACATTAAATCTAATAAATAATAATGAGATCAGCTGATAACATATCATCATACTACTCCGGAATCTTTCAATAAGAAAATTGCAAAATATTGTTCACGTGATTTTCGATAAGCATGGATTTAGTTTCCTTCAGATCATTTGCTACGTCATCACTTGTTAAGATTATGAAAATTAGCAAGATGACAAAAATATTCATTGTTAAACATTGTTACACACTTTTTGAGAGCAGCGATTCTCAAAAAGTGTTTCGCGGAGTCCAGAGTTCCTTGACATGGCCATAAAATTTCCGAGAGTTAGTACTTATTTTAAGCAATTATGATTTTTGAAGAGCTGACGTAAAATATCCTCAGTGGTAAACGGATCATGGGTTAGAGTCCTCTCGCTATCAGACTGATCGAGGGAGTTTTCGTAGTTTTCTTTCGTAGTTTCCATTTAACGGAAATTCAAATTAGCTCCATCTTAATATATATA